GAAAAACCTTTAGCTAGACTAAGACAAAAAGAGAGACTACCCAAAATAAATAAAATCAGAAGAGTGGAATCGCTAGGTCAGATCTAGACTGGGTTGCTATTTGATATACATAGTGCATATTTCAATTTCCTATGCATAGCAGGTCTCCATCCACTGTGGATCTGCAGAAGTGGTGCAGGAATCTTTGGATCCAACTTTAGATTCTTTCACTCTGCTATATGACCTTAACATACAGTGCACACTTTTTCTTTAACCATAGAACATATAAAGAGTATATCCAGAGTGTTCTCAGTCCCCTAGCCTTCTATTTTCTCCACCAATGCTTGCTATGCTTTCAATGTTGCCATGCTACCCTGAACACTGTATCTGTATGCGGCATAGTCTCTCTCTCTCTTTCTCTTGCACATACACATGCACACTTGTTTTCCCAAGTGTCTTCAGCACTGAAGCTCCTGGATATCCCTAACTTTATCCTTCTTTTTCCATTTTAGGCACCCATGGCAGTATATTCATTTGTTCCCTGGAGCAATATGAGGGAAGACATGCAGTGCAGTGGAAAAAACATGCAGTGTAGTGCAAAAAACTCAAGAATGAAGATTCATGAGTTATAATTCTAGGGTCAATATTTACCAGCTGTTGAAAAGTTATTAAAAATCTCTGTACTTAAGTTTTTCAGCAATAAAATATGGATTAATACTACCTATCTTCATTCTTTCAAAAAGTATTTATTGAATGTGTAAGGTGTCCCAGGGACTGTTCCAGGTGCTGGAGACAGCAGTGAACAAAGCCAAAGTTACTTTGTAGGGTCTTTACCAAGACTAAATAAGAAAATGGCTATAAAGCGCTTAGAATAGTTTCAGACGTGGGAAATATGCTTGGAAATTTGTTTGTTTAACAAATGTTTATTGAGTATCTATAATGCTATAGTCAGGGTTGTAGGCTTTGGGGAATAGTATTCAGTGAGGCCAGAGGCAGGAGATCAGAAAATAAAGGAGCAAAATAAATGATCCAGTTATTTTTAATTAGTGATATGTGTGTATGATTCACATAAATCAGTAAAAGCAAATAAAAAGTACTTTGGATATCAATGGGAAAGTTTTATTTCAGAAACTTAAATCAAGCCAGGTAACTGAACGGTAATGCTAGCAGTAAAAAGGAAACCAAAAAGTAATGCTAGGAGTAAAGAGATAACTAAGAAAATCAGTACATGGCAATCAGAACCAACCAGAATACAATCCCGAGAGACAGGAGATTTTGAAGCCAGATGGCTAATCGGCAGTAAGAAGGTGGTACCATTATTTTTCTCACTGGTGAAAGGAAAAACAATAATTGCACTGCCCTCATGATAGTTGGGCTTCTTATACCCTAACTGTTTCATGATGAATAATATTTCTAGCTATTTTCTGTCAAATCATTTGTAATTCTTTGACTCTAGTCCTACCTTCTTCCCATCTGAGAAATTCTTACAGTCTTCTCCAGAAGAGTGATCTAGAATTATAGAACCCCAAAAGGGAAGAAACCACACTGGTCATATCACTTAACCTCCTCCTCAGAGCATGACATGCAACCTCAGCACGCAGCTGTGAGGAAAGGAAGTACACTGGGCTGGGAGTGAGAAGATCAAATTCCTAGTTCCATCTCTGAGTTGTTAACTATGTGTTGCTTTGGAGAGTCACATGTCCTCTGTTTGATGTGGTTTCCTCATTTGCAAATTAAGAATAGTAATCCCTATCTCTCATAGTTGTTGTGGGGATTAAACAAAATGGTATATGTGAAAGCTCTTTGGAAGCTAAAAATACTCTAGGAGTAAAAGAAATGGTTAATCTAGGTGCATGGATCAAAGCTGGTCCCTGGGAAAAGTAGAAAGTACTATGTACTGATTTCTGCTGCCACCATGGGCTTTTTTTTTTTTAAATAGCTTAATTGAGATATCATTGACACATAAAATTTATATATATTTAAGGCATACGATTTGATATTTTAACATCTGTATACATTCTGTTAAATTAAATTAAATAAAGCTGCATCTGTAATAGTGAACTGTAACCTAACTTAATGTGTAAACAATATGTTGAAAAAAAAAAAACTGCAACCAAACTTGAGAGTATATTCTCGTAACATGTAACTGAGTCTTGGCCAATCATAGCAGCCAATCTTTCAGCCAATCACAGTCTGCAAACTGCTCAAACATGTTGAAACAAGGTCAATACAAAGCTTTAACCAGTCGGGCTATTTCTGTATGTCACTTCCTTTTCCAGTCTACAAATACTGCCTGTCCCTGTTGTTTGGTAGACCTCTCTAAACTTTTACTGGTTCAGGGTGCTGCCCAATTCATGAATTGTTTCTTTGCTCAAGTAAACTCTGCTAAATTTAATTCATCTAAAGTTTTTCTTTTAACAGTTGCTAAATGATCATCATAATCAAGTTAATTAAAATATCCATCACCTCTACACAGTTACTAGTTTGTGCATGCATGTGTTTGTGTGTGGTGAGAAGATTTGAGATCTATTTTTTTAGCAAATTATATGATACAGCATTGTTAACTATCTTCACCATACTATACGTTAGATATCCAGAATTGATTCATCCTGCATAACTGAAACTTGTATCCTTTGACCAACATTTCATTTACTCCTTTCCCCTAGCTCCTGGCAACCACAGTCTGTTCTCTACTTCCATGAATTTGACTATTTTAGATTCCCACATAAGTGAGATCATGTACTATCCACCATGGGCTTATTTTGAGGCCTTGAGTAAATCACCATTTGTCTGTGCTCTGGTATTCTGAGTTAGTCTTGCTATGAAAGATTCTTTCTAGGCAACAAATTGCAAAACATTTAAGGATTCAAAGGTTTCTTTACCCAGAAGAAACTGGTGTAAGTTGTACTAGCCAAAAAATGTCTGGATCAACTGATGTTTAGAAAAAATATTTGTATAACTCCAGAGAACCCTAACTTTTGAAAGTTATACTGTCTGGCTTCTGTTGATTTAAAACAAAAACAAAAACAGAAATGAAAAACAGCTTCTTGTCTTTAAGTTTGTAAGAATGTTAGCACTTGAAGATTTTAAGATACACATGAACTAAATAAAACTGTTCAAGTTTTTAAAGGGAGCTTGGAAATTTGAAGAATGCAAAGTTAGATATTGCACCATGATTCATATAACCATTTTTCTTTTTCTTCCATCCTTATAGCTTCCCTCCTATCCATTATTTATGTAAATTTTTACCCTAATTTAATCAATTAAATAACTTAACCCCTTATTTGTTATAAAAGCAAGTTATTATGTTATTTTAAGCTGTTTTGGGTCAACAAGAAGCATAATAAGATAAAGATGGGTTCGTGTTATCTCCAAGGTTCCAGCCTACAGTGAGAGGCAGAAGCCTATTCTCTCTAGGGCTCTTATTACAATGGGGTATAGGAGAGGGAAGCATTAATTTTGGCAGAATGGGAGGAAACAGAGGAAGGAGACATGATCTCTGCATTCTGGCCTCTCTCTTACTGACCGAAGAGAGAACACAGAGGCAGACAGACATATACACTTTTCTATAATTAGAATTCTGATATGTGCTGGGAGGAATGTTCTCAAAGCTACCTAGCATACAAGGAGTGGCAATGGGGCCTGACCTAGTTCTCTTGCCTTTGCTCACATAGTTTGGGAGATCTGCGAAGATTCCCCTGAGAAAGTGACCTTTGAATTGAGATCTGAGTGGAAATAACTAGGTACTGGGAGGGAGTGAGGTGAGGAGAGGGCCAAGAGCTTTCCACACAGAGGGAACTGTTTGAGCAGAGACCTTGGGCAGGAAAAGGCTTTGCATGTTAGAGAAACTGAAAGCATATCAGCAAGGCTAAATACAGAGCCAGTGAGACCCGTGTGCCCGGTCAGGCTTAAAGGTAGACCAGGGCTAAATTGTGCATAATCTTGTAGGTTGTCCCAACGATTTTGTTCTCTATCCCAAGAATGCTACTTTGGGAGATCAGGCAAAAAGTTAGGGTGGTGGCAAAGGGGGAATGTAGAAATGAGGTAAAAGAAGTAAAATGGAGACAGGTTGGATAAAAGGAGTGAGGCAGAGGGAGGCGTCAGAGTGCTGCCCAGGTTCCGACTTTGCAAAGAGGAGGCCTTTCCTCAAGGTGATCTAAGGTTCTGAACCACTGTTTCTGTCACTTTTTCTTATTTTTAGTGTGAGAAGTGGGTAGCCAGCTGTCCAGGTGCACAGATACACACTGATATCTTACCTTTGTTCTTGAAAACAGAGGCTCATATTTGGAGAGTGAATGAGTGAGGAGCCAGAGGAGAAAGTGAGCAGGCAGAGGCCATGCAGGAGGGAGAGAGGAGGAAGAGTAGGATCCGGGGATACTCCTGCCAGAAAGGAGTCAGAGAAGACAGAGAAGAGGCCGGGGAGGGGAGAGCAAGGACTAGGGCACAGGATAAACGTGAGGCCGGGGAACACTGAGATAGAAGAATCTTGGGATGTGAAAGTTGTAAAGAATCTTAACCAAGCTAGTCCAATCCTCTCAATGTACAACTGAGAAAATTTTCATGTTTTCACTTTGTTATAAATGTGATACTTTCACTTGCAGAAATTTTAAAAGACATAAAAGTGTAAAGGAAATTAAGATCACACATAGTGTTTCTACATAGAGATATCCACTGCCAAAGCAAGGACTTTGCTTTTTTTTCCTCTTTACATTTTTAACCTGGTCAGAGTTATAACACAGATACAACTTTCTGCCCTGCTTTTACAACGTCCCCACACGTTGTCCCAAACTCTGCATTGAAACAAGAGATTGAGACAAGCTGGTTGTGACACTTACTGAAGTGAGTGGTGGCGTCAGGACTCTTTGGACCCTGCCTTCTCGCAGTTCGAAGAGTTAACATCCGGAGACTGTCTTGCAGAAGCAGCCAACCGCCGGCTATTTGGAGTAGGAGCGTGGCCTGTGTATGGGCTTGGGGACCGGCCCACAACCTCGCCAAAAGAGGCGGGGGGAGGAGCGCGCAGGTCGAAGTTTTGTGCTCGGCGCCGTGCGCGGTTCCCACTCAGCGACATGAGGTCCCTGCTGCTTCTGCCGCTCTGGGCGCTCCTCCTGGTTTGGGGGAGCTCTGAAGGTGAGTGGAACGAGGGCTCCGGGCACGCGCCGGGAGGGTTGAGAGAGGGAGCCCAGCCAGAGCTCCTGGGGCTCCTCGCTCGGGCCGGGGAGAGGGAGCGCGCGGCTGGAGCTCGCGGACGCCACCGCTCCTTCCAGGCTCATCTGCTGTTGTTTCTTTCTTCCTTCCTTCTCCGTGTGCTGTCTGTCTGCTCTCCCGGCCACTTGCTACGCGCCTCCAATCTCCATCCTCTCCCAGTCCCGCAAAGGCATTTCCCCTTCCGCTGCCTCCAGATCTCGTCCTTCGCCAACAGCAGCTGGACGCGCACGGACGTCTTGGCGTGGCTGGGGGAGCTGCAGACCCACACTTGGAGCAATGACTCGGACACCATCCGCTTCCTGAAGCCGTGGTCCCGGGGCAAATTCAGCGACCAGCAGTGGGACATGCTGCAGCATATCCTTCGAGTTTACCGAACCAGCTTCACCAGGGACATACAGGAATTCGTCAAAATGCTGCGCCTAGCCTGTGAGCTCAGGGGTGGATCCTGGGCCGCTATCCAAGGGGAGAGAATGGACACGGGAAGCCCAACGGGGAGGCAGCGGCCCCAGCTGACAGGATTCTCTGTCCTGTCCACCCTCTTCTGATTTCCACTTCTGCCTGGAGATGTCCCAGTCTCTGACTTCTCACAATGCCCCTTATTCCTCTCTGCTCCCGGTCACCCGTCACCCACTCTCACTTCCCTGAACTCTGGGCTCTCCGTTATAACCCTCGCACCAATTTCCTCTCTTTCATCCTGTCCAGTCTTTTGAACCCTTCTCTGATCTCTAGCCATTCCTCTCCACAGATCCCATCGAGCTCCAACTGTCTGCTGGCTGTGAGCTGCAACCTGGGAACACTTCAAAAAACTTCTTACACATAGCATATGAAGGAAACGATATCTTGAGTTTCCAAGGAACTTCTTGGGAGCCAGCCCCAGAGGCCCCAGTTTGGATAAATGTGGTCGTTGGAGTGCTCAACCATGACCAAGGCACGAGGGAAACAGTGCAGTGGCTTCTCAATGACACCTGTCCCCAGCTTGTCACTGGCCTCCTTGAGGCAGGGAAGTCAGAGCTGGAGAAGCAAGGTCAGCCTGCATTCCTCGCCCCTGGCCCCCACTCCAGGGTTCTCATGTCTTTGAGCATCTGAGGAAGAGAAAGTTCCCGGAGGGGCTTGATAAGGTGTGAGGGGATTTATCATTCCACAGACATCAACTGAGCACTTACTGGGTTCCATGAATTGAATTACGTAAACACTGGGGGTCAAAGCTGAGTTGGGCAGGTAGCATCCTGCTTGAGGGGGAGGATGAGAAGACAGATTAACAATTAAAGCAATGTTTGAAACATGCTACCTGTTGCAGCTGAACAAAGGGTGTTCTAGGAGTGCAGAGGAGGGATGTTTATAGGAGGCTGGGATCAGAGAAGGGGAATGAGTACCAGGGAAGGTTCTGGAGAAGGTGACACAAATGGTTGAAGTCATGAAAGACTTCATTTACAGAAGTAGGCATGTGGGGAACGTGAGCCTGATATGAGGCCTGGAACCTCCAATGCAGAGTCTTCCCTCTAAGATGCCCCATTCCCTGTTGGATACAGTGAAGCCTGAGGCCTGGTTGTCCAGTGGCCCCAGTCCCGGGCCTGGCCGTCTGCTGCTGGTGTGCCACGTCTCAGGATTCTACCCAAAGCCCGTGTGGGTGATATGGATGCGGGGTGAGCAGGAGCAGACGGGCACTCAGCACAGTGATCTCCTGCCCAGTGCCGACGGGACATGGTATCTCCGAGCGACCCTGGATGTAGTGGCGGAGGAGGCGGCTGGCCTGTCTTGTCGGGTGAAGCACAGCAGTCTAGGGGGCCGGGACATCATCCTCCACTGGGGTGAGGAAGGGCTGGGGCCCAGGCTGGACATGGGAGGAGGTGGTCCTCAGGCAGAGAGGCAGGCACTGGGGAAGGATGGGCTGGATGCACCCAGCATAGAGGAGTTTCAGAGAGGAGAGGGATAAAAGGAGGGGATTCCAGATACAGGGAGGAGGGAAATAAAGACATGAAACTCAAAAAGGATTGAGATGAAATGTTCTGTATAGAAGAAGAAACAAGACTAAAAAACTCAGAGATCCAGAAGTAGGTGACAAATAAGAAATCCCAGGAGGATTCATTCCCAGCAGGGAGGGGTCCAGGGACTTTAGAAAGGCAGGTGGACAAAGAGAGCCGTGGTTTGCTGAGTGCTTCCTGTGTGGGGGCTGATGACTCTGCATACAGTATTTCATCTCATCCTCAGAACTCTCCTTTGAAGCAAGTACTGCTATTCTCATTTCGTAGATGAGGAAATTGAGACTGAGCAAGCTTAACTGTCCAGTGTCATGTAGAAAGTAGAAGAGCTGATTTTAGACTCAGGCCTGCCTAGCTACAAAGCTATTGTCCTTCCCTTCTACGCTCTACTAACGAATGCTGAAGTGAACTGAATTAGGGGTGCCTGGACCCTAAGAAAAGATGGGGAATCTAAACTTATGAGGGATAGAAATAGGTGCTTTAAATGAAGGAGGAAATTAGAAGTATCTGGTACCCTCACATGTGTTTGGACCAGGGGACTCGATATGGGGAGGGTTCCTGCACTGAGAGACATCCTGTGTTCCCTCAAAGCAGGTGGCAGCCACGCCTCCCTGGGCTTGATCATCCTGGTAGTACTGGTGTGCCTGGTGTTCCTCCTTGCGCTCATTGGAGGCTTGAGGCTCTGGCTTAGGAGGTACTGGTAAGTCTCCCCTTTCCATGTCCTTTCCTTAGCCTCTCTCCCCTCCATTTCTGGCTCCTCTTTTCCTTAATGATCTCTCCCTTTCTATTTGCTCACAGCTCCTATCAAGACATCCTGTGACTCTCGTAACTACACTTGCTCTCTGGAACTCAGAACCTCAAGTCCCAGGACTTCAGTTCTGGTCTGCTCGGGAATCGAGGATGAAAGGAGAGGAACCTTGAAGAAGTAGAGAACGGTCATAAGGCAGCTCTCATCACACCCTTTTAACATTTTTCTAAAAGAATTTAAGGTTTATTTCATTGTACTACAAATTTATATGCCCAGATGGTTCTGTAAAAACAGGAGTGTAGGCTCAGATGCCAACCACGGACAAGCGGATAAGCACTGGGGCATAAGTGCATGTGGTGGAATCTGCACTGAACTGGAAAATACCTGTCCTGCCCAAAGGAAGCAGCTGCAGGTGCGTGTTGTCAAGCATAAAGTCAGGCTCTGGCTTGGCTGTAACCCACATTTTTCAAGAAAACTGGAAATCTGGATTTTTTTAAATTTCAGCATATTATGGGGGTACAGATGTTTAGGTTACATATGATGCCCTCGCCCCCCCCCAAGTCCGAGCTTCAAGCGTGTCCATCCCCCAGATGGTGCGCATCGCACTCTTTGTGTATGCATATACCCGTCCCCTCCTCCCCCCTCCTCCCCCACCCGACATGCAATAAACGTTGTTCTTATATGTGCACTTACGTGTTGATCAGTTAATACCAATTTGATGGTGAGTACATGTGGTGCTTATTTTTCCATTCTTGGGATACTTCACTTAGTAGAATGTGTTCCAGCTCTATCCAGGAGAATACAAGAGGTGTTACACCACCTTTGTTTCTTAAAGCTGAATAGTACTCCATGGTATACATATACCACATCTTATTAATCCACTCATGTATTGATGGACACTTGGGTTGTTTCCACATCTTTGCAATTGTGAA